TTTAGGGGTATTTCCTATATGTATATAAGAAATATATAATATCACTTGTCAATCTAAAGTGCTTTTCCTACAATAATTTTGAAATGTTTTATTATCAACATGTGCTTCATATATAGATAAAGTATTCGGATTTATATGTGTCTATAATTTAAATTCGGGGTATTCCTTATCTTAACTGCCTTGCGTTTGCCTATAAGTTATTAAGAGTTGTTTGTTTATTAAATCATTAGAGCCACATATTGCCACATTTCAAAATAGTTTTGAATTGCTTTGCTGCGTTATCACATCATTAAGGGTATTATTAGATTCATTTATTATTTCGAACTTTTTCTTTTGCTTTATTTTCGTTCTTCTCTTTGCTTTGTTGCATTCACACATTTTTCACACTCTATTAACGTAGTGTAGCTGAACGGCTTGGAGTAACCGTTCGTTGTCCAGTGAAATGCATCAAAATTCCGGAAGCGTTGGCTTAGATTTATGTTGCGCAGGGAGACAGCCCCGTTCCCGCCCGTCCCTCGCCTTTGATTGCCTCGCCCCGAATTGGGGTCAGTGGAAGGCGTGTGGTTTTTGGGTGACTCACTAAGCGGCCGCTAACTTGGCTGACTTGGTTTCTAATTGACGGTTGGCACTGTCCCCGCCTCCGTTGCCTCCCCCCCCTCTCTGTCTCCTGTCCTCTCGTTGGGTGTGCCCGGCACGAAAGCTTGGGGGTTCTCTAATCATTAATTGCGTATACGCCGCATTGCACGCTCGCCTTTTAAATAAATGTGCTTAATCGGCATTTTATTTTTATACAATACAAGGGCTTTGTATTTTATTTGATTTCGGCTTTAGTTGCCGTGATTGTTGGGTTCATGTTAACTAGTTTGATTGAGCAGGCCTAATCAAAGGTTGATCAATAAAAAAGAATTATTTAAGTGCTTATAAAGGTTAATTTGTTTATAATTTTACTTCGTATAATATCTATTGCTATTTTCATATATTCTTAGTAAAGCATATATTGAAGAGAGCATATTAGTTATCATGCTAGTTACTGTCTAATTCAAGATCACCAGAGTTAATTAGTTTTCTTTTTTTTTTTTTTTTAATGCAATCTTAGTTTTTTGTCTACAAAGCTGTTAACTTCATTGAAAAATTCCCACCCGTTTTTTGCTAAATATTATGGTATTTCGCAGAATGTTTTATAACCCATTATATACAGATATTCCCACATTCAAATTTTATTTTTTATACATTTATTTTATTTAGATTATCATATATAAAAATTCTTTTTTTGTGGCTTTCAACTTTGAGTCGCATTTGGCAGTCAGTTGATAAAATGTTGTGAAAATGAAAAGCGCCCACAGTTTTTGGGGCCCAAAGTAGCTGCAGCTGTTGCTGTTGGCTTAGCGTTAGCTTTAGCTGCAGCTGTAGCTGAAATAGCCCGAAAAACCGCAACCGCAAAGAGTTTTTGGCTTAAGTCTCTCATTTAGTTGGCTTATAATAAGCAAAGTGGCCATTAAATGAGGGCCAAAAATAAAAACTTTTGTAAGCTGCGTTTTCAAACGGGCCAACAAGACAGATGGAATAGAGGAGACAGACGGACAGGCAGTTAAATAGAAAGACAGATAGATAACAATAAGAGAAGAAGTGGTTGTCGCATTATGCTGCAGATCCCACTC